GAGGTAGCAGGTCAGGGTAAGGCAGGCAGGAACCCATAGCTCTCATCTCTTCCCCCAGCTCCCCCAAACCACCCGGATATTCAGAGTAGCGCTATCGGCAGTGTTGCTGGATGTGTGGTAAGCTGCTTGTCTCTGGGCTATTAAAAGATTTGTCCCAAGATGCTGAATGAGATCAGTGTGACCTGTGTGAAACTGGGTTGATAGGAGAAAGACAGAAAAAACAAACAAACAAACAAAAAACCCCCAAAACCCCTTAAAAACCCCAACAAACTTGAAGGGGGATTAGAGGGGAGGGCTCAGACTGTACCAAGCCTTGTGAAAGGGTTAGATGCTATTAAACCTGCTATTCCGTGGCTTCATTCACATTATTTACTCAGTGCACTTCAGGACTCGTGCTGTTGCTCTTCCCTTTGCTAAAATGATAGCATTGAGATGATTTAGCAATTGGTCCTGATTGCTCTGTTCCCTCTCCACTCCAGGTTTCTGAGTATTGCTCTAAGGCTACGGGGATGGAGCAGTTAACTCATAGAGACAAAAATCCAAATTTTTAGGCCAGATCTCCCCAGAGAGCTTCCCTTTTAAATTTGCAGCTTGAATTCTCTCTCTTTTTTTTTTTTTTTTTTCTCCTCCAAAGCTGTTTGGAAAGGAATAATGTGTCAGAGGCTGTAACAGATACCTACAGTCCAGTATCTCAGGAATGTGATGTGTGCCAATTGGGCATCCTGGAGCCTTCGGAAAATGCTCCTGCTGTATTTGCAGATGGACCCTACCCTTCTCCCTCTTTTTGGGCAAGCTGGCCAGCAAACTCAGTTATTCAGCTCTAAGAAGTTTGTAGCCATTGGCAGATGAGGCATCTTTGAAGTCAAGGCTGATAGCTTACGTGGGTTTGTCTTTTCTATTTTATTTTTTCCTCCCTTCTGGTGCATGTTGCTGAATTTGAATAATTAATGTATGTTGTCTTGCTTCCTGTTTTCATTTCTGTATGTAATGCTAACCAGCAGGGGTTTGAATCATTCATAGCCTGCTTTCTCCACCTCAAAGCTGTAGATGTCATGGGAACAGTGATTGTAAGGTACAGACTTTCTGCTTCTCTCCATTAAATCCATTTCTGGAAGCAGGAGAAGTAAGTATTCAGTCCATGATCTCAGCCAAGCGAGGATCTCTGGACAGATGGTATCAGTGTGGTTTCTCTTGAGCAGCCTCTTGCTTGCTCTGCTTCAGTCTCTTCTTGCATTTCTTGTTACTACTTGGGTGTCTGTGTGTGTGGTGGGGAGGATGGGTGCTGTGTTTTCTCTTTTCTTTTCTGTTGTGGGCTTTTGTGCATCTGCTCATGACATTCAAGGAGAAGAGGGAATCGTTTAGGCTTGTAGGATGCACCTGGTGCAATTCAACTGCATTTAGGAACGGCTTTTTTGAAACTCAGGTTGGATTTCTTCTCTTTGTGCTTCCCCTGACTATTTTTTATGGAGAGCAGCCTGAATCTGTGGGCTCCCATAGCATCTGCCTGTGCTGGGGTTTAGCAAGAGGAACCAGGGTGGGAGCTTCACTTGGTGGCTTATGGAGCACCTTCAGCTCTACTTTCCCTTGCTTGTAATTTTTATCCTCTTGGTTGTTTTTAGTGGATTCTGCTGCTTTTAAAACCTTACAGCAGTGCCTTCTGGTGATGGTGTTGGTGGACAGGTGTGCTTTTGGGTTGCCCTTTTGTACTGAAAACACTCGTTTTCCTTCTGAACTCTGCCAGGAGATTGGGAGATGCTGGATTAGATGCTGCTGCAGGAGGTTGGTAGATGCTCTTCAGAACTGGACAATAAACTCAAAGCTTTTGCATCTACCCTGGCTATTGGTGTTCCCAGCAGGATTTTTTTTCAGGGAGAAGGATTGATTTCTGGTCCCTCTCCATCTCTGAAGTGCACTCATACCTTGCTAAAGCAATGCTGTTTGAAAAGGCTTTGGTGCCTTTGGTTGTGCAGCAAAATTCATGCCTTTAACTGATAGCTTTGGATACGCAGTCATGACAGAGATGTTTGCATCTTGAACAGGTTGAATCAGGGATCCTGGTGATAGCCCTGAGATGAGAACTCTTCATGTTCCTGCTAACTTGTGGTGCTTGTCCAAACTCGCCCTATTCCCTTCCCAGCTTTATCGCTTGCCTTCTGTGAGTTGTGCTGTGAAGCTTCAGCTAGGGACTTAATGATAAGTGCTTGAGCTTCAACTTTGTTAATGGAATGATGGATCCATAACAGAGTTATATTATTTCCCGAAGGAGAGCGTCTGCTCCCAGGCTCCTGCCACTTCAGATGAATTAGATTTCTCTTTGAAAAGTCAGAGTTTGCCAGCTTTAACACTCAGTGTACAGCACCACTTCACCAGGTGTCCGGGCTGGAGAACAGCTAGGGGCTTCCCAGAAGAGTGGAGTGATGAAATGCTCGAGTGTAGTGCTTGTGTTTGGCTTTGCAATGCAATTCTTGTAAGCTAGCAAATAAAATACGTGGTCAAAGCTTTTAAAGATAGAGATGGTCTGTCTGCCCTCTTGCCTTGCATGACTAAAGCAGAAAGAGGTGGAAATCAGGAGAGATGCTGTCCTTTGGAGATTAATTCACAAAGGATTTCTTGTAGCAACAGTAGCCTGCTAGGTTTTCAGGATGGTAACATGGGGCTTGGCAGTGGAGTTGTTAATAGGTTGTGCATAGTTTGTATGCCCTGCCTATGTCCCACAACGTCTTGTACGTCAGTTGCTGCTTAGGATCTTCAGGGCAGGGATTATGGCTTTGTCCAAGACCCTTAAATAGCATCTAACTTTGCATGTCCTCAGTGTTTCTGTCCTATTCTAACTGACAGTTGTTTCTGCCTGCAGTGTGCTGCCGGCATGTGCGGAAGGCAGACTGGGAAACTCATTTTGTAGGGATAATCTTGAAGCAGACAAAAGCTGAAGATAGGAGGCAACTTGTGCAGTGACTAATGCTGAGCTTTATAAATAGCATGAGAAAGGATGAAATGCAGGCAGGGAGGTGACCGCAAGCACGAGGCCATGGAGGTGGTACAGCAGCGCTTAGGGGCAGATGAGCTGGGAGAGCATGGGGGTGACATGATCAGCAAATAGCTCCCGTTTCAGACTGGATGTGTTTGTGGCTCTGTCCTGCACGTCCTCCCTGAGGGGATGAACAAAACCACATGGGGATCTGGGCCAGTTATGAACTGATACGCAAGTCCTGCACATCTCATGTCCTTTGCCTGGGTCAATGCCTTGAGCAGTGCCCAGAGCATTATAGAGAGGTTTGCTGAAAGGACAAAGCTACATTTTGTGTGTTTGTATCAGAGGAAGGTAGAGGACCTATGGGTTGTGTGCTCTGGAGACAGCATGATAATGGTCTGGTGGGCTTTGAAACCACGGCAACCAACTAGTAAGGTTTGTCTGCCTCCTGGATGCTGAGTCCTGATTAGAGAAAGCCGGGACAGAGCTGTCCTAGGCTGTCAGCATGAAGCAGAGAGTGTAAATGGACACAAAGAAAGACAGAAGCTGAAAGGGTTGAGCTGTCTGTGTCCTCGTTGACATTTCTAGACTCTGCCACAGTGTTTGCAACACCTGCAGCATCCCCTTATGCATCAGCTATAATGAAAAAATACAGTCAACTCCATTCTCGGAAGCTTCCTTCCATGGGACATGGCAATGAAAAGCTCTTAGGTGGCTAGGTTATCTCCTTAAGCCCTGTTACACTTTGCTGATGCCAGCGAGGATGTTGCTGCTCATAGCTGTCATAGCTTTTTGCAAGACCTGAGCACTGGGGATCCTGTGTATAAGGAAATGAAATGTTTCCCTTAAAGAGGATGCAATTTCCTTACTGCCCACGTACCGTGCACACTCTGGAAAGGTGGCCAAGCACTTTGCAAGCTCAATTGCTGTTGAGCATCACTCGTAGTGCGTTGACTGTCCACGCAACAGCAATGTGTGGGGCTGTGGGTGTACACTTGTGCACCAGGAACCTGTGGAAAACCCCTGGTGGGAGTTAAGTACAGCCGAGAGCAGCATGACACCACCAGAAAGGCAAATATTTGCTTTGAGGTTCCCATCCCCAAACACTGACTCTATGAATTAGTAAGAGTGTACGATTACTTGGTCTGTTCTTGATATGAATCTCACCAGAGACAAAAGCGAGCATCTAAATATATTTAAAAAAAAAAAAGCCTTGTGACGCACGAAGCGTGTAACTGATGGAGCGGAGTACCTTCCCTCGAAACACTGATGTTCCCACGCATGGCAAATAGAGCAGTTGCATCGGAGTCAGTCTGGTCCTTTGGGAGTGAATGCTCTTTGGTGGACAGAGGAATCTTTCTCCTGGGTGAAGGCTGCAACCAGCTCTGCATCCCTGTGAGTGCTTGTTGGAGATGCATGTAAAGGGAGAGGGCAATATCTGCCTCTTCCAAAACGCACAGAAGTGTTAGCCCCTCGTCTGGGACTGTTTTGCAGGCTCCATAGGATGCTCAAGATAAACTGATTTAGCTTGGCTGGGTTTCAACTTTGCAGAGGTCTCTGAATCAATTTTAAGGTTGTGCTTGCAGAGGGTATGGTTCTTTACATTTCAATCATTCATAAAAATCTAATCATCTGGGCTCCAAATAATCTGCCTACTGCTCTTGTCCTTGTGTGGCTTTTCTTACTGATAAGTCCTGTGAATACATTTGCTTCTAGTGGTGTGGGAGAAATTGCACAAGGAAATAAAACTTGCAAACTAATTAAACTTCTCAGTCTTGTTGAGTAACAAGCCAGAGATGTTGACAGGGCTGGGAGTAAATCTGATTATCATTCCTACTCTCTTAATAGCCAGAGGACATGGTTAATTATTAAATTGCTTGTTAATGCATTGAAATATTGCTTGGCATTTTTAATTTCCTTCCCCCCCCCCCCCCTTTTTTTTTTTTTCCTTTTTTTTTTTCTTTTTTTTTTTAACCTTTTTTCTAATTTAGGTACCACAATTTTGTGAAAATTTTGGTCTTGTCTGGGGGGGAACCCCCGCTGCCGCTGGAAACGGTACCAGCGGTCACATGATGACACCACCAAGGTGGGTAGTTGACTATGTCGCCTCTTCCCGGTGACTTTGGATTGCGGATGGATGTGTGTCTTGGTTGAAAGTGCTGGATATTTGATATTTTTTTTTTTGTTGGCTTAGATAGACCATGGAAACCACTGGCCCCATGGCTTGGAGGTCTGCGAGAAGTCCTGACCGTGGGGTTGACGTAGCAGATGGGCATGGTTAGCTGGTCATGGTGCTCAAAGGGATTGAGTGGTATGGGTTTGGCTAAATCTGTCCATATTTCCCTTTTTTTTTTTTTTTTGGTACTAGGGGAGACTTCTGTTTTGCTCCTTGCTCTGTGTCTTATTGGCGTGCTTGTGTTTCTTTGGCTGAATATGTAGGAACTGAATTTCTGTGTAGTCTTTAGCTTCTGTGCAAAAATAAGTTTGTAGGTAGGGAAAAAGACAGCAGAAGGTGAGAGCTAGCTGGGGATAAATGGGGGAGCTGTTAGAGGTGACTTTTTGCTCCCTTGCATAAATGCAGTTTTTATGAGCTCTGGCAGAGGAAATCCAGGCAGCAGGGCTGGACTCGTGCCTTCCCTGTCATTTGGGGCTGTGAGATGGGGTCTTGTGAGATCTGATGTGTTTATTGGAAGAAATGTGAAAAAACTGCTGTCAAAGCTGCCCTATTGCATCTTCCAGGTAATGGTGGTTGTATATTACTGTTCTTCTGTGCTGTCTGGAGGTTTTTTTTAGTGTGCTTACTACTTAAAGAACTAAAAAAAACCACAAAACAAAACTTAACCTTGTTTCTCCTGGTAATGATCCCAGGAGATTCTTTCACTGCTTTTTGAGGGCTTAGTTTTGCTCCGGTGACAGTTAGCTGCTCTGTTTTGTTTTTAAGTCTATAACCAGGGATATTCCTGGTCGTGGAGCACTTTTCCATGGAAAAGAGGCTGTTAAGGAGAAAACACTTCTAGGCGGCAGATCCCAAGTACCATGAAGACAGCTCCATTTAAATGTTGCAGATCCTCTGCCAGAAATGCTCCTGGTTCTGAATTGCATCGGTTGTTGGTGGTGCAGCTTGGCCGGAGCTCCCACGTGAATTTGAAAAGTCATGGCTTGCGTTTGGGCAGCGTAAAACAAATTTCCTTTTGCAAAGTAGAAATGTTTGTGCTGTTTTTCCTCCTCTTTCGGTCTGGCCAACTTAGTCTGAGTGACCACTCCTGAGCCAGCAGAAGTTTCCTTCGAGCAAATACCCGGGCACGTCCATAGTGGTACTTGGGTTTTTAAGACTTTGTCAGGAAAACAGTGGGACGTAATGTCTTGGCGTGTGTGTGTACTAACTTAAATACTCAAAATGCCTTTATTCCATATGCCTTATGAACCAGAACGTTATGCTTCTTAACTAAAAATCTATGGAAAAATTGCCATTGACTTAATTTTTTCAGTGAAAGCTGGCTCTGCTTTCACTGATTTATTTTACCAAAACATCAGTGGCAGCCTTCCAATTCTACTTGGAATTTCAATTGTTTTTCTAGTACTAGAAAGGAATTTGTTGTGTTTGAAGTACCTGTGCAGGGCTTAAAAATTCTCAGAGTCAGTCTTATTAAGGTCTACATGAGGCCTCAATTTCCACTTTGTTGAATAGAGAAATGGAGATAACTTGGCTCTTGCGGGAGCAGAAGAAGAAAGTCTAAAATTAGCTACAGGCTATGGAAAACCAAGGTATGAAGAATCTGTTCCCATCTTGCTGTCAGTAAAGTGCCTTGCAGGTGTTTGTGCTGGAATGAGCGACTGTAGCACTGTATTTGGAGGGGAAAATAAAAATGAAGGCTAATTGACCTCTGTTGGACAGGTCTATTTGGATGTGCTTGAGTACTGCAGAGAATGGGTGTGAACTCTAGGATATGTCTAAGAGATGAGTGAGAAACCTGTTTGTTTTTGGGTTTTTTTTGTTGTGTTTTGGGTGTGGTGGGTTTTTTGTTTTTTGTTTTTTTGTTTTTTTTTTTTTTTGTTTTTTTTTTTAAATAGTCCTTGGCTGTTTGAGCAAGCAGGTAACTTCTACGGCCTGCGAACCAGTATTAGCATCCCTCCATCTCTCTGGATCGGGTGGGAGAGCGTTTCATGCTGTGACTCAAATTCAGGACCACTTGTACTGCAAACTCCAATCTCTGCAGCTGAGTGAAGCTCCGAAGCAGGGATAGACTTACCACAACATACAGGGTACTTCCAGCATTGGGATCTAGTGATCTCTGGTCTGCGTGAGAGGACTTTTGGGACACGTGGGAAAACTTTCCAAGATCCCAAGGTATTGGATGGGGATTGGAAGTTTTATATATGCTGATTGTCTCCAGCTGATATATTCCAGCCACAATATTTAGGTGTATCTATACGGGATTAGCCAGGAAAATACCATACCATAACTTGGGTGCCTATTTGCTTTACACAAAGGCAGTGGCATATTGATGCTAATACCTATTGTATTGCCCCGTATCCAACCTGATAGTAACTTAGCCACTGCAAGCCCAGAGTAGAGGCAATTGGAGTATAATATGTGTTTTTTCTGAGCATGGTTTCTATAAAAAGGGGTATGGCATACTTGAGAGGTCTTTAAGTCTTGCAAAAATCTAGAGCTACCTGGGAAGGAAGAAATAGGGTATGTACATGTTATGTTTATACTCTGTAACTATTGGTAAGCAAGGCATGTATTCAAAGAGCGACTTTTTTTAAGCGTAGGCTACAGCATGGTTATCCACTTTCTTTTTAAAAGATCAAACTTTCTAGAATAAAAGGCCTTCACCTAAATTTGGGTTATGACCCAACCTTGCTTCCTTGAAATCTTCTGCTGATGGCTGTGAATGTTTGTTTCCTGAATTGTACGGCAGCTCAACAGCCAGAGTTTTAATGATTTCTCTCCTTTTTCCCCCAAATGTATGCAGATCAGGCTTTCTATGACACGTTAAAATTCTCATTTTCGTGTAAACTTTTAATTGCAAGCTCGAGTTCTAAGTTTTTTGGGAGACTGCTTGCTAGAATTGTAATTATCGCTTGCTTCCCTCTGACCTTTTGAGAATGGAGGAGGGGGGCTGAAGGCACCCAACCTGCACACTTGGTCTTCTTTTTAAATTTTGAACAGCTGCAAAATTCCTTTTTTCTATTGTGTGCCTCCAGCTTTAATGGCAAGATCCTTTTTCGCTTTTTTAAAATTTTTAATGTTTTTTTAATGAAAGGGATATAAAAGAGAAAAAATGGTCTTGCTGAGATTCAGACCATTATAATCTCTCTAGCTGGTGCGAGGAAGCAATTTCTGATCTAACCAGAGCTTGTTCATCAGGGATTCAACCAAGCAAGTTCTTATAAAGTCAGTGCATCATCGTAACAGGGCTCTATCACCCTGAACACAGAAACTGTGGGTAAATAAGCTTTGGCTTGTAGTTGCCATATGTGCTTTTACAGGTCTGAAGTTCAGACCACAGCTTCCAAGGTAGCTCCCAGATACCATGATCTTGTTGATGAATCGTCAGCAATTAAACACAGAGCGGCACCACTAATTGCAGTGTATGAACACAATGCTCTGTGCGCAGCATGTGTGCTTCACCTGAAATGAACTGCTGCTGGGTATTACAACACCAGAATAGCTCTTGCTCCCAGGGTAGAGGCCAGGGCTGGCTGCAGCATCTTTTAAAATCCATCCAGAGATGTTGCAGGATCAGTATCCGCATGGGAAATGTCGTTGGGTTGCATTGTATAAACATGAAGTTAAATCTATCAACTGGTTTTGTTCAGGGTTTTTATTGCTTCCAAAACCATGTTGTCTGTACACAGCAAATATCACACCTGGGAAATCATCCTAGGTGGAAGTGGGGAAAGAGAGATTCTGCAAAGAAAATTGCTATGATATTTTTTTTTTTATTTATCCAACAAAGAGAAGAAGCCACTTTTATTGGCTGGCTGTTTGTGTGGTTTTTTGTTTTTTTTTTTTCAGTTACTGTGAATTGAAAAATCTTGGTATCTTTATTTTATTTATCTTATTTAGTTCCCTGTCAAATAGGGTAAAATACTATTACAATTTGCAAAGGGCTTTGGCTTCTCTGCAGTTATGGCTGATACTGTATTTGCCAACCATGAACCCTTCTGAGATACAAGTTGAGGCAGACAAAATGTAACTGGGAACTCTTCTTGTCTCCCCTATTTCCCTTGGAAGCTTTCCCATGTTTACAAAAATGTCTTTTCCTCCAGAAAATGGCCAAGAATAGGCAAGGATAGGTGCCTGGTTTGGTTACGTACAGTAGGAAGGGCCATCGTCACCTGGGAGTGAACCCAAAATTGGCAGCTTTGGATCCCACGTGACTGAAATTGCAAGATCCCTGTGATGTTTCTGCTCTTCAATGTCATCTGCAACATTTAAATGGAGCTATCTTCATGGTACTTGTACAATCACTTTTCTTCCTCCCATTTCTCTTGTAAACACCCCTGAGATGTTGTGAGTGAAAGGAGCAGTATTAGTGATGAAATCTCGTACATACTGAAATCCCACTGCTTTCTGAATGGTCTAATCCCACAGATGTTAACCTGAGCATCTAACAAACCACATCCTTGTTAAGAACCTGGAAAGATGGTGAAACTGGAGCTAATTACACCCACAGCCAAGCTCGGGCATGGATTTCTTTGAAAGCTTTGGGGGTGGTCAGGACTGATGTTCAATAAAACATGGGTTTGCAGGGTTGGGTTTTGGGTATAACATTAAGAGTTTTTTGTCCTAAAAATGCAACTTGTTCAGAATCCAGTGGAAAAAAAACAACAACAACAACAAAACAACAAAACAAAAAACCCCTAACTCATAACTTTCTTCAGTGTGGCTTTGTAGCACTGATGCATATATGACTATAGCCTGTTTAACACCCTCGCACTTGCCTTTCTGCTTTAGGAACTGCATTTTCCCCTGTGTCTCCCAGAAACCTCATGTTTTTAAAGCTCTTTTTTTTTTTTTTTTCCTTTGTTTGCACATCCAAGGCATTGCCCCCTTCCTTTCTCAGAGATCCCCAT